GTGGTTAACCTTGCCTTACCGTGGTAACTACAGGCCCCCAGATTTGCACATTTCCCTGCCCCAATCTTTCTCACAACTCAATTCCCTGTTTCCCACTCCCACTTTGTTTTAACTTACTTTCTGTATCTGAATAGGACCTATGACCTTTCTGTACAAATTCAATTTCGTATTTTTCTCATTCGTGGACCTTAACGCAATGAGTGGATGCAACTGATGAGCTCTCGAGACATTTATGGTGCTATTAAATTTTGCACTGATTACCATCTTCAAGTTCTCTCCGGGAACATCATGCTTCAAACTTCTGAATCTGATTGGTTGCTACATGGCTCGTAAGCCCGGTTGCTAAGCGCGCAAATGCGTTCGCGCACAGCTATGGGAAAATCGATCGGCCTTAGCGCTGAGCGGCCGCCTCACGCTTAAGCACGCCATTTGGCGCATTGTCTCGCTGCTGAGCGGTCGAATTGCTGCCTGAACGTTGCCTTTGGACTATATCGCGTAATTTGTGTATCTGTGTAGATTTTTCAAGCATGTCTAAGCCTGTTTCGAGGACTACCCATTATAGGCGTAGGAAAAAAGTGCTTCTCGAACATGTGGGTGAAATTGCTGATCAATTTGGTGAACTTTTTGCGTCTGACGCATCATCGTCGGGCTGGAGTATAAGTACATCTTCGTCCTCTTCGTCTGAATCTGATTGGGATCAGCAAATGTCGCGTGATGAAGAGGGTGCGTTTTGGAGCCCACAGTCGCAGGTTTCCGAATGCGAAGATAACGAACCTGGCAGTTCACTTACAATTGAAGAAGAGCAGCCCAGTATGGAAGATGTACTTCGAGCCTGGGCAGTCAAACCTAAGACGCCTACTGTTCATATCACCAGCCTGTTGAAAATCCTGAGGCGTGTGTGTCTGGACCTACCTAATGATGGACGAACGCTGCTGCGGTCGGAAGACATCGAAACCGAGATAACGCCAATAGTTAGCTTTGAAATGGATTGTGAAAACGTTAGTGGACTACATGCGGTATGCCGTTATCCTAGAAGAGCGG